AAGGCGAACTGCATAGGATATTAAAGATTCTTCATCCAGATTCAAGATTCACATAAAAAACGTGAAAAATTCCTAATTCTTCATTATTTATTCTTTTCGGGTGATGATTTTCCACTTGTTCCTTTGTAATTTAATTTTACATATGTTAGACTAGTTTTTCATTGTATTGGATGAATGTTTGAACCCTATTTTTATTTATTTTAATTCAAAAAATCAATTTAGGATTTTTGTGTTATTATTTGATTGATTTTATATACTCATCACACTACTTATTGCTTGATCACCAATTAATTAGTTAGTTGCTTGTTGTAGTGTATGAATATACTCACAATAAGTTTAGAACGCTGTAAAATCAACATGTGCAGTTAGAATTAGGAATAATCTCTTTCACACGTGCAATCTTATTGATAATTTAAACCAAATGCGTGACTTTCATATGAATTCGGACTAGGAATAGGATCGTCTCATGTTAATTATAGGTTGGTGTATCTTGGGAAAAAACATTTAACATATTAGCTTTATCGATTGTAAAAAATGCATGAATTGAATATAATGATTATTAAGAATTGAAATAAGTGGAAATATGGGGATACATGAATCCAATACAAGCATTCACATAGATAAAATATCATATTTATTTGCTTTTCTAGAGTAGAATTAGAATAAATAACAAATAAATCACAATTATATTGATGTCATAATACTTTGAAATTAATAGTAGATATTGAACTACAAATTAGACCTTATTCCTCGTGGGAACGATACTGTTAACTCACATATTTTATTACTTGTACAACGATCCCGTACGCTTGCGGGTTTCACGCAAATAACAAACCAAACGCATTTCCAACAATCTTAAAAAGACCCTCTAAATAGAAAATAGAATGAACTCAAAACTAAAACAAAAGTTTGGGCCCTAACATTTGCTTCTTCTCAAAATATACTGTCACATGCTATAAGCCTATAACTTGTTTTATAATGAGATTATGTTTTCAGTTTAGAGGAAATTATACCCACACATGTTTTTAAATTTTTTATTTCAATAATCTGATAATACAGTTATTGTTTTCAAAAAGCAAGTTTACCCTATTTTAGTAATTCATTTTCTACTCAAACAAAAGGTCACAGAAACTTCTTTCCACTTTTCTTTGACATGGCCACCTTCATCAATGGCACCTTTCTCACTTCTCGAGCATCGGCGACGATGACACTGCAATGTGCGCATCACATCTCGAACACCGACGACGACACTATAGCGTGAGACCGTAAGCAACCTATGACCGCGTGCACGAATAGTGTGTTGTTGTGTGCAATTGTGATCTCCATTGCTTCCTAGTATGTTTTTTGTGTATGCAGTGGTAGGTTGTGATTCAGTTGGGCGATTTGTATGCAGTGGTAGGTTGCGGATCTGTGTATGGTACATTGTTGTTGTATGTATGGATGTATGTTTTTGTGAGGTTGATAGCTCAAGAATAACTAACTAAAAGGGGATAAATTGATTTTTAAAACATTGTTTCGAAAAATAAACTTAAATCAAGTAAGTTAAGAACATGTTGATCAATTAATAATCATAAACAAATAAAAGCGAGTAAATCAAACAAATTATAAATATAAATGAGACGACAATAAGTAAAATTGTACACATGAGGCAAACAATATAATTGTAGAGGTTAAGCAATGGTCTACGTCATTCGTTACTAAGCTTTCCGACACGAACAAGGTCTTTTCACTATATTGATTAATTTGTGGTGCAATCAAATCTTTTACAACGCTTTCGATGACTTATAAATAAAGAGTACCGATTATTATACAATATCGAACTTTATGAGATTTCAATATGACCCACACTATTGGTCTTTATGAGACCTCAATATGACCTACATGATTACTTACATCAAGAAGTATCGATCCTTATACTATTGAATTTTCACAGGACCTCAATATGACCCACAAGTTTAGAGCAATGATTCTACAATGAAATTTCTCTCCTAGTAAATGATACTAATGAATTAAGTACTTAGAGAGACTAACACTTCATTGAATAGGAATTAATGATAGCTCAAATGCTAGATAAAAAACTTTAATTAATATTATAATTACAAATTTGATTCAATCAATCAAAATTTTTCAATGAGAAGATGAAGAAGAAATAAATGCAATGTAATTCACAAATCTTCTCAAAATATATCTTTCTTTTAATGAATGATTATAATAAATTAAGTACTAAGAGAGAAATGAGAAACTTTGATGAATATGATGATTTTACAAGTTTGATTCAATCAATCAAAGTTTTCAATACGAACAAATAGAAGAAATATATGCAATGTAAGTTCAAAGATCTTATTTGAAATATATCTCTCTTTTATGAATAATAGAAATAAGTTAAGTACAAAAAGAAAGATAAAAAAACTCTGATGAGGATGATGATTAAAAAGCTTGAATCAATAAAAGTTTTTGATGTGAAGAAATAAATGAAACGTATGCAAAGGCAAGCTTGAAGAATTCTCTCAAAATATATCTTACTTCAATGCTCTTAAAAGTCTTTTAAAGAATGGAAAAATGAGGGTATTCATAGAGCTCAAAAAACAAAATACTAACCTGACAACCAATCGGACAATCAATCGGACGTCCGCCTTTTGGATCCGGATCACCAAAATAGACGTTATGCATATGAAATCTAACGGACAAAAATCCGACAGTTACATCAACCGGACATCCGCCTTCCACAAATTTATAGAGAGATTTTGCACAATTTTTTAGGGATTCGGACGAGCATCCGAAAGACGGAATGCTCAGACCGGACGTCCGATGGTTTTAAGTCAATTTTTCCATTTTTTACCCATTTGATCGGATTTGAATATTTTGACAAATGTAAACTTTTGAAAGGTGTTTTTAACTTGTTTTCAAGGTAAATGATATTTTAAAAATATGATCTAAGTTCAAATATAATTTTGAAAATGAATTTATTTTTGATCAAAACATTTTATGTAAGTGATAACCAAAATAGTTTTTAATGCACAAAATGATTTTTGAGATTTTTTCATTCATTACTAAAGAATAAGGTGTTAGTACCTTTACATTTGATATAAGAAATCTAGTTTTTGATCTTGTTTCGAATTTTGGCACTTAGATTCCCGTCTTGATCTTTCATTGACATTTGGTTCTTGATCTTGATCTTTCTTTAATGTTTATCTTTTAAGATATTTTGATGACGATTGATCATTATATCATGGATGCTTTGAAGACTATAATTACTTTAAATTTAATTGTTAGGAAACAAGATTAACTTGTTTATTATAATCAAAACTTTAAGGTTATAATCAAACATAGTCAACATATGTGGTATTGGTGGGGCGATGTCGTGTCTATGGTGGTGTGAATCTGCGGGTGGTGGTGGTGTGGTGGATGTGGAGTAGGGTGCAACTGATGGTGTATGTGGAGGTGATGGTTGTGGGATAATGTGTTGGAGGAGGTGGTTGTAGTGGCAGTGACAACGACTTGTGAATATGAGCTAACAACATGTTTTAGGTGGTGCCGACGATGGTGAAGGGGATAGGGAAGATGAAGGGGTAATTTATGATCATTTAATTGGATAATTATCATCAGTTAATTTAATAATTTGAGATCGAGAAATAAATTGTGACCAATTAATATAATAATTTGTGGTCGATAAATAAATTGTGGACAATTAATTTGATAATTTGTGATCGAAAGATAAATTATGACTGATAAATAAATTGTAACTAATTAATTTGATAATTTATGATCGCTAAATAAGTTTCGACCTATAAAAATGTGAGATTGTTACCTAAATTTTATGACTTTTTGAGTGTTTCTTTCTATGATTTGTCATTAATAGGTAATTATGACCATAATTATATGTTCTTATGACCTAAACCTATTTAATTAATACCATTTGATTTTTGAAAGAATTCCACAAGTTTGACCTTAAAGGTTGGTAGTTATGTATATTTTCCTTGAGCTTGTCATTCTGCATAGGTTTTAATTATGCAATACTTTACGAAGGGGAAAAATAAAGAATTAACCAAAGTTGGATAAAGAAGTCGTATCATTATCTAAATAAATAAAAATATTATCTCAGCACCAAGGAAAAATGAGTTATGAAAAAAAGTTTATCTCACATTAAGAAAAAAAATGAATTATCTCGAAAACACTAACCTTATTTGGCTCCAATTTTTCAAAACTCATTTTTTTTCCAAACTCATTCCAACTACACATTTTATGGGATCCACAACTCTTCTCAATTTTTTGACCACATATTTCATCATTTTTTTTTTATAAAAATCTTATTTTTAGCCAAACAGAGAATTTTTTTTGGAAAATGCCTGGATACCTATTTACACCTTTTAACATTCATTGTAGGGGAAAATGGAAAGATAAAGAAATTTTGAAAAGGCTGATTTTTCAGATGTAAAAGATAAATACAATGCTCAGCCTAATGTACCCTTCATCATAATGTACCTAATTCTGTAGCAATACTAAACACGATTCACATAAGTTCTACAGTTCAACAATTAAGTTATGCCTATCCTCGAAGAAGAAAAGGGGTATACGTTTTCACCCAAGTAAAACAAAAATCCAACTCAAAGCAACTACAAAGATCGACACAGATTAACTTGTGACAATCAGAGATGAGGCCGAGTGCAAACAAGGATTACCAGAACTGGAGGGACGAGTCCTTAATCATGTTGGAACTTGCATATCCACCTGCCACAATTCAAGTTTTAGATAAAAATCGAGTTTGTTAAATGGTTAGCTAATCCAATATCCTCCTAACCTTATCGAGCTTTCCCAAGAAAATCAGCTCCACTTCTCTTCTAAGACTTTCCACATCCACTGCGTACTCTTTAAAATTCTCTTCAACCATTAATTGCTGCAACTGTTGCTTCATTGTCTCCAATGTCACATCCAATTTACATACTTCTTTGAAGACAAGAGCCTCCGTAGACCTTAGCTGTAATAGGTTTTTTACTGCATATAGAGCCTGCAATAAAAATAAAATGGAAAATGCAGATTAGGAAGGACTAAGGAGTAAAGGCAACTTGTTATCCTTGTTAAATTAAGCATGTGATGCTAAATTTACTTGATCTAATGTATAAAACTACGTATTCAAAACGTATCATTTGGCACCCACGTTAGTACGGAGGTGTTTTCCATTAAAATGCAGTTTTCAGGCATGCTTCATACTTATTAGTTATTGACTCGAACCAATAAGGGCCTGTTTGGAAAGGCTTTTGAAAAGCCAAAAAGCTGCTTCTGAGACTAAGAAGTTTTTTAACCCATTTGAATCATTTTCTCTCAGGAAGCTCTTCTACAAAAAAATAGAAGTAGAAGCAGAAACCCTACCAAATGGGCCCTAAAAGTACCTTGACTTTAGTGTCGATGACATAGGCAAAGATGCAAAACAGATGTCGTTTGATTATCAAATTCTGACAAAGTTAATATAACTGAACAGGCACCTTTTCCTGGAGATCAAGGTCTGGTGTTGCTATTAGATCAACCACAGACTTTAAGAACAATTGGTTGCTGAAAAAAGGCAGCTCCGCTTTGTTACTGCTACCCAATTGACTTTCAACCAGATCGGCCACAAGAAACACTGATTTTCGCCGTATTCTGATATCTGTGCTTGAGTTGCTCAGAATGTTCTGAAAGACAAAATAACCACCAATAACTGTAACTGCAGAAGCGAAAGAGACGTTCCCAAAAAATTCTACATCACTATTCAGTTATCATCAGATCACCTGAAGCATCAAGTGTCCAGCTTCCCTATAGAACGACTCTTGTCCCTCAGGATTATTACTAATCAAGGCTGAAAGAGCATATAGTGCTTTTATGGCTTCGTCAGTGAATGTAGAATTTACCATCTCCATTAGCTTTGTCAGCGGCCCAAGCTCCAAAATCTGCAACCCTCAAATTTTATCATGCCTCTACAACTTGTAAAACTTCGAACATATTTGAAAGACAGTAGAAATTCAGGGAAAATAGAAAAATTCAGCGCCAAAAACAACTTCAACAATGATGAAAATGCTAACGAGATACCTGCTTCTGAACAACAGGGTTATTTTGACTGGCTTTACCAAGAACCCATGCCGAAATAGTCCTTATTTCTGGGTCAGGATGATCAAGTTCTCCAATGACTGCAGTGAGGCCTCCAAGTTTGTGCAAATCTGATAACAGAAGTTCAATCAGATTCTTGTACAAAATATGTAACATTCAAGTAGACCATGAATATATTGTAGATTTTTCCCTAACTGTATAATGCTCTTGACAGTGAGAAAATTGCTTTGGCATTGCTTTTTCTCTTTCCAGAAGAAAAAGAAGATAAGCTTAAGAGTCCAAAGACACTCAGATATTGAAAGATTTCATCATATCAATTCAGTGCAATGAATACGATATCAACAAAAGCAGCAGTACATGTCTTTGTACCACATTTCTTATAAATTTTGCTAGTACAAGTAAAAAGAAATCATGCATTGATAATGCACAAACTAAGACACAAGAGATTAGATATCAATTGCAGTTAAGCTCATCGAGTACATTGCAAAATTGACCTCAAATAAATTAGTTTCTCCATTTTTTTTTTTTTTGGGTGTATGTTACGCCTCAAATAGGCTCTCTGTATAAAGGTAAAATGTCTATATAAAAATTGGTCACGCAAGTATGCAAAGAAGACAAGCGGCCACTTGGCCATCGATCTTTCCAAGTGTACCACCACATTGCTAGTATGCTCTCCCTTTTAGTCATGACCTAGCGCTAGCATGAGGTGAGGTTTCATGATTGAACTCCCCAGTGTGAGGTATATCACCTAAGAGGCGTAGCAGCCTAAGCTGACTAGGGTGCTCTCCACTCATTGACTTATTTTTAACTAGATCATAACATAGCACCGATAGGGAGGAGTAGGGAAACACCAACTACGAGATCCATAGTTGACTTGAGACATTATTTGCCTAGTTCATCTACTAATGTTGATAGATCACCCATCTCCAATGCAAATGACACTAAGTGGAGAGGCTCCCAAGGTTCATTCTATAGCATGAAAGCTCCATATATGTACATGCAACTATGGAGGTAAGTAAAAATAATATATTGTTTCAACAAAGCCAATAACAATAAGGGTGGACAAATGAGAACAAAAAAAAAAAAAAGCCCAGGTGCAATAATAAAATAACTCTAACGAGAGCAACAATGAGAAAATCTGAACAGGAGCTTAGATGTCCCCCCTTTACCACAAAATTAGATGACAAAATATTACTGGAAAGATTTTTTTTTTTTCCAAAATGTATAGAATTATTGGAAGGATGAACACAAGAATATGTAAATGAGAACAGAAATGGCACCATTTGCATTATCTATTGGCTCAACAAGTATCAAGAGCTCCTCTAGTGCACGATGACGGTCTTCGAGAGACACGGACGAATTATTCAAGTCATCTATTGCAGTTTTCATCATTTGCGCATCTGAAGGCATCTTTAATTTGTCCATTAGTTCCTATACAGACATGCAAAAGGCAACAGCACAAAACCTGAGGAATTAGAAATATTGGGTTAACTGAAGAAAGTACATAAGTAATAATCATTTGCCCAACCTAGAAATGATATAGCTGAGAGTGTAGATAAATATCAATTGCAAACTTGCACAAGGTCAATAAATTGCTGAAGGATTGGTAAGAGACGATATAAATTTAAGAGCCATATAAAGAACCAATTTCTTAAATAATATAAATATGCTTTTAAATAAAGAAGTGATAGGAATACAGATTTGTAAGTGAAAAATTTAAGCCTTGAGATAAAGGTATTGATTTAAAAGTGTAGAAGCTAGAATGGGAAGTTGGGGAAGACACAGAATAAGATATCTGCGTGGAAGATGGAACAATCTTCAGGGATGTAGGCAATTACAGTACAACATTGATATAAAAAAGAACGGTAGGAGAGGAGAGTTCTGACGAGGACCAAATATGAAATGCCCTAATTGAAATTTGAGTGTTCAAAGACGAACACTTTAGATAAAACTTTGGAACCACAAATGATACACCTTACCGTTATTCCCATCTGGCGTGCCTTCAGCTCTTCTGGAGACAAGCGCTGGGCATCTTCTGCTGTTTCCTTCAACTTTGCTGGATCTGAATGGCCTAAATCGATCGCCATTCAGAAAATAAGCATGTAGAATAAAGCAAATTATATATTTTGAATTCCAGATAGAAGGTTGACTAAAAAGAAACAACTTTCATCTTCACGCTTATTGTAGTATTTCGGGAATTGGAGGTAGACAATAGAGAGAGATGGGAAGAAAAAGGTACCAATAGCCCACTGTAGCATTCCCTCGAGGGAAGAGAATCCACCATCCAATTGGTGTTCCCCTTGGTTGTCACCCAACAACAAAGAGGATGAATCATCGCCGTCTTGTGCCTTCCTGAGGAGATCTCCCTCCTCTTTTGCAGTTGACCAAAACAGTCCTTTGGATGCCTCTGACTTATTTACACGCTCTGTACTAGCAAAGCTCATTGCGAATAAGATAATCAACAACAACGAAATTATGGAGATGGATTGCCGCATTGTTGCTGCTACTGCTGCTGCAATTTTGATTATTTTGAGTCTGCCTGAAATTCTGAGTGAAAACAACCTCAGATTGTTCAATTTTGCCCCAATATCTACAGAATACAACTCTAATAATTTATAAGAAAGAAGTGTTGAATCACGAACATGCCACAATCCATATTGCTAACTGTTCTCTGCCATCAATTTTAAGGAATGCCATAAAGTGTACCAGCCAATAGCCGATTGCTAATCCTTCACAATGCATCGTGCAGCATTCACAAGTGATGTGATGTCAGTTAGAACAGTATTAAAATACATTTTATCCCTTCAGACATGTGCAGACGCATAAAATCGTGGATTTGATTCATTAAATTGTGCTGTGAACTGCACACCCAACTCTGGCTACAAAAGCCAAAAGTATTCATCCTATAAATGTAAATTTTGGAGGTAAAAAACAGATCTTTAAGTTTTTTTCTCCTCTCTCTTCTTACACCATGTAATTTTCCTTTCTGACCAGTGCCTCTTTTGACATCCTAACCCTAGCCTGAATATTTCATTATTTATAGAATTCAACCATTTCTACCTTCTTCTTCTTTGAAGAGTTGAATGTATAGCCGACGGGTTCTTTTTTCCCCTGTACAACAAAGAAGAATCTGCACAATAGCAAGAACTTTTGTGAGTAGAGATTAGGGGTGAACAAAATGTCCAGACCAGACCAGACCAGACCAGCGGTTCGGTTTGGTTTTACAAAAAAATTAATAGTTTTGATTCTTCGAATCAAGAACCATTTGGTTCTGGTTCTCAATTCTACGACGCCACGGCACGTCAGCACCGTATTTCATCACGTCAGTAGAGAAGAATATTTCATGATCGGAAAATAGAATTGAACAGTCAGTTAAAAAGCCTTTAAACTATTTTTTCACCTTGATTGTTTGATGAATTATTTGCATTCTTCACAAATATTAGAATATCCAATAAACATTAACGGAGTATTAAACGGTTAATAGTTGCCTGTAAAAATGGATTTTAAAAGTATTGCATAATTCATCATTTATCATGGGGGTGTGCCGTCAGAATTGCTGCAATTAATTTAGTGAATCATTGTGATTACTTATTAGGCAATCTTTTGTATGAAAATGAAAATTGATTTGTGTATTCAAACTATGACTATATTTTGTTTGTTAGTTTGGACTTTCGTGATTTTGATGATTGATAATTTGAACTTATTGAATGTTTGTCGTTTATTTTTGTTTTTTATTTACGTATATATTACTAACTTATGGATATGGTGCAAATGAAAAAATGTAAGAAATGAAACTAGAATCAAACCAAACCAAACCAAACTAGAACCCAATGGTTCGGTTCCGATTTGGTTCCATACCCTAAAAAAATCATTTGGTTCCTTTTAAAAAAAAAAACCGTTGGTTCATGGTTCGGTTCAATTATCTTATCTTCTCTTGGAACCAGAATCAAATAGAACCATGTCCACCCCTCATAGAGATTGCTTGTGCCTAATATTTATAAGATTGGGAGCGACAATGCCAAGAAGCAAATATTTGAAATAAACTTACAGAAGGGGTATAAATCAAGGACTGCACCTAGTTGTCATATTTGTGTTATGGTGATGGTTTGATAAAACTCGTGATGGTTTAGTTACTTATAGCAATTTTTGGTGCTTTCGTGGAATTTGTCTGAGAGTACTTTGTGGATAGAAATATTATGTAATGATATATTGTGGAATTCCATTATAATTGTGGTATATTTGTTATATATTTTTGGATATTTTGAAAGAGGAAAATTTGTAAAACTAAACAATTATTTGTGTTAAAGTAGTTTACTTCAAACATCAATAATAGCCCAAAGATGATCATTGAAATAAAGAGGCATCATGTAATAATTGGAGCTATATCTATGACATAAAAGCGAGCAATAGTCACGTGAGGGCACATTTAAATTATCCGTGCAAACAGCAATCTAGAGTGTTGTAGACAGAAAACAAAAATATTGTGTATTTGACGAGAATTAAATTACACATAGGAGACGGTCCTAATGGATGAACCAACCGCTAGCTATGATTCTGATGAATGTAGAAAAGGAGGTTGCAAAAATGACACTATAGCCACTGTTTAAGTTCTGTTTCTTTTTAGTTACATTATTTCATCCACCTATGTCAACATAATAAATGAAAATTTTGACATCGTAGACAGAGAAGCTGAAAAAAAATTGAATTTTTTTTTTAAAATTATGAATCTTTATCTGCACAACAAATATTAATCAATACTTCAGTGACCTAAGTGATATGTTGCTCAAAATTTTATGACTGATAGAGATAAAAGGCCGACAATGGTAGAGGGCGGCTGGACAGGACAGCACTGGAGAGAGGGGGACTGGTCTAACTCACAATGGGGAAGTGTCTATAAATAAGTTGAGAAAGGAGATGGTTCTGTTTTATTTGGTCCTTCCTTCATAAAAATATTCAATCAAGATTTCAGCCAGTCACTAAACTCTAGGTGATATTTTAATTACATCACTAAACTTCAATTTGTGACACAAACTTCATGTTATACACATCTTTGTGTCTGACATTTAAAATAATAAAGTAACAATTTTCTTATTCCACAGCTACATTTTTATCAGCCGCATCAGATTTCTTGTAAATACATGGCAATGGTAGACAGAATAATGTACTTAAAACGGGATAGAAAATTAAGTGACTAACTTAGAATTTAAAATAAAAATATGAAAAGCTACTGAACTAAGACTGCATTTCACCATATTTTCATCATAGTGATTATACTGCCTACTGGAAAGTGAAAAGGGGTAATCACGGGATCATCAATCTCGGAGGCTACTGAAAAGGCAATGGTTCATAATTCACATGCTTAAATTGAAAAGGAATTTAATAAACACCATTAATTTACCAACAAATTCGAATTGAATCTGTACCCGATTCCTCATCCAGCAAATTAACTAATAAACAAAAGATAAGCAATATTATATGACACAAGCAGGCAATTATATAGTAGAAGAACCAGATAAATATGGCAATCAAGTTCTATAACCGATTCACCACTTTTTTTTTCAGAATTTACTACAATTTAATCCATCTTCATTGGAAGAACATTTTCCACTCCGCTCTAGTTCAATAACCCTCAAAATTAAGACTGTAATACTATAAACATCAATCATCAAACACGAGGAAAAAAAATCTAGAATATTGTTTACACAATAATTTCGCACAAAAAAAAAAAATTGAAAAGAGAATACCTTGCAAATTGATACTTAAAAACGTTCACAAGATGAGCAGCCCTTCGACAAATAGTACTTTAGTTCTCGATTTAAGCCTGAAATTGAAAGGAAACCTTGTGAAATTGTGAACGGTAAAACCAGATAAAAAGGTAAAAATTTTCAAAAAAAAGAAAAACAAAATCAGAAATTCGACCAACAAATTATATAGATGCTACTGCGTATATAATTACCTGATAGGGTACAAATAATATGGAAGAACACACAGTCTTGAATCGATTTGGATATAAATAGGAATTTAGAACCTGGTAGAACACGGCGAAGGCAACGAGTTCTGAAATTGCCATTTGGGCTTCAGTCCTCAAACTATACCATCTAGAACAATTAGGTACTCAAACAGTTGATGTTGCCATTTAAGGTCTCCAAACTTCTATTTTTTTTTTCCAGACAGATTGAAAGTTTGTTCATAACTTCAAATTCAGCCTTTTAATCTTTGGAAATATTTCATAATTAGCCCTTAACCTTTAATATTTATAGCAAATACATCTTTAACGTTTAAAATTGAACCTTTTAGTTTTCGTTATTTAGTAATATTTGCATAGTTGTCATTTTTATACAATTCCATCAATTTTTTATCTTGTGCAGAAAACTTTCATAAATAGTCATGTTCTCAATTATGGAGCATCAAATTAATAGCTATCATACGTGTCCAATAATATAATTTAAACCACAATTTCTAAGACTTAAATGACTAAGCAAATTACATTATACACCATTAGAAATTGATAAATCTGAGCATTTCAACCGAGACTTATCCAAACAAAAGAAAAGAAACATCAAAATTACACTAGGAAACTATCCTCCATTTTTTTTTTCAAGTGCCGTGTAATCAGAATTTGATATTTTTTAAATGAAAGTGTCGATTCAATATTTTTTTGTTTTCCTCATTATTTTTTTTTGTATTTCAATACACAATTCCTTCAAAGTTTGTTATTTTTTTTATTGTCTTATTAGAGTTTTCCGAATAAAATAGGCAACCTTATTATTTTTCTTTAAATCCCAATATCAATTAGCTGCCTTTGTGCAGTTAACCATCATAGTACTGCCAATTGTCATAGCACCCCCAAAGCTACAGTGACCCTCAAACCAAAAATTGTGGCTCCATCGCTATGTTTAACGCATTGGGAAAACAATGATAAAATGCTAACATCATATGCTCAAGTTTCACACTTGATAATGGTATTCACATTATACTCAAACCTAGAGATTTGATCTCCTATGGTGATGTGGCATATCAAATTTTATAAATTTAGCCCCTGTTTATTTCTCACTTTTCATCCATAAAAATGAAAAATATGATCGTTATTCATCACATCAAGCCATTAATTTTGAATTTCTATCTCTTGTATGGAGCTCACTAACGATTATATTTTTAATTCTCATTCGCACTACCTTTTTTTATAAATTTATTGCATTTAATTACAATAAAGATCCCTAAAATATATTAAGATATCAAATTTAGTAACTAGAGTTCACGGTGATTATAATTGAAAACATATTGAAGATTATTGATATCATTGAAATAAATTAAAGTTGAATAACCCAATTGAGATGTCACTAAAAGTTCAATGACCAAAAATGAATTAACGTTACTCTTTTCCGAATGCCCAATGAATTTGGATGAATTAAACACGGTAAATAAATATTGTTAACCCTGATAACTTTTGAACCATAGTTAAATCCGCCTATATATAACAATTAGCAACCCCAAACGCCTCACACGTCCCGCCAGATCATTTCACCCCTTTCCTTTTCAAATTTCATAAAAGAATATCAAAAAATCATTCGTTCATCTCTCTTCTCTTCAGTTTCAGTTCTATCTCAAATTCAAAAAGGTGAGCTGGGAAGATTTTTAAAATTTCACGTTATTTGCTATTTTCTCGTAGCTTTTAACGATTTTTACTGAATTTTCTGTCCAAATCCTACAGATGCTAGCACAAACGGTAAAGGAATCCGAGATCACAGAGCAGGACTCGCTTCTACTGGTAAATCAGTTGAACTATCTTTGTAAATCATTGTTACTGTAGCTTTGATGTGATCGTAAATTTGTGTTTGTTTCCAAGTAAAATTACCGATACGATTTCAACGAATCAGCATCGGTTGAATTTTTGGTTTTCAATTTATTGATTTCAAATAGATAACAATGTTTGATTACCTAGCGCTTAATATTTCAAAAAAAAAAAAATTGCACTATTATTCATTTGCGGGTTTTTATCTTATTGATTAGTATTCTCGCACTCAGTATCGTTGAATTTTCACTCGACATCGTTGTATTTTGATATTAATCTATTGATGATTGTGTTGCGGGTGATGTTAGAATCTTACTGTCACCAACTGAAATTTATGTACGCGATTTACTTTTTTTCAACTTCTGTTGATTGTAAATTTATCAAATCGTGCGATTCTAGCTTGGACACTATCAGATATCTAGTTATTTGAGTTTTTTTCTCTCTCTCCCTGTTTTCTCACAGCTTAATAGAGAGTTAAATATGATCTAAATCTGTTTGTTGTTATATTGATGCTAGACAAAAATTATTGAAGTTTCCGTGTAATCAACATCAACTTAAAATAATACAGATAACTGCGTGATTTGCGTGAGTAGACATGAAAAACTGATGAGATAAGAGCTGAAGCTTAGCATTATTCTGCAGATTTTCATGAGTTTAAGCTGTCTGTTTCAACCTTTTTCAACTTGAAAATGAGTGTTACTTCAATCTTTTACCCAATTCCTTTGCAAGAATTAAATTATTCTATCATCAGTACAAATTTATGAATTTATTTCTGTTACATTTTTCTACGCCTTACCAAACTAATTCTCTCATATTGATTGAATTTATACAGACGAGGAATCTGCTTCGCATTGCTATATTCAACATTAGTTACATCAGAGGTCTATTCCCTGAGAAGTATTTCAACGATAAATCTGTTCCAGCCTTGGGTCAGTTGCCGTTATGTCAATGTTTCAATTTTTTTTGGACTTGGATATCAGCTGTTGAATTGGATCTATTGATTTTCTTATCATAAACAGAGATGAAGATTAAAAAGCTTATGCCTATGGATGCTGAGTCCCGCAGATTAATTGACTGGATGGAGAAAGGCTTGCTATCAATTTCATAATAAGATGAATTTCTCAACCAGAATTTTCTTTCCTCTCCCTCTGTGACTTTTGATTTTCTTTTCTCTATTCTTAGGTGTATATGATGCTTTACAGAAGAAGTATTTGAAAACACTCCTGTTCTGTATCTGTGAAACAGTGGATGGACCAATGATCGAGGAATATGCATGTAAGTGTAAACAATCGTAATAGAGTGTAGCACTATGCAGGGCCCTAACCATTATTTGGTAATTACATGGAATGCAATGTTTGAAAGTCATTATTTTTTGGAAAACAAAACATATTGAGAGCTAGCTCAGACAAAGTTTGTTATGCCACCAACTTATAAAGGTTATTTTTAGTTGGATGGTATTTTATTTAGATATTATAGTCCCTTTGCATGTAATGTTGTAGCATAGGCCTTTGGGTCTCCATTCTACAATGTAGAAGGTAACAGTGATATGGTATTTTTATTGCAGTTTCCTTCAGTTACTCAAATACTGATAGTCAAGAGGTGTCGATGAACATCAATCGCAAGGGAAAGAAGAAGGGAGTGACATTCGACTATAACTCCAAAACGGAAATAACTCCCAGTCAAATGCGGTAGATAAATCCATACAACTTTATCTAGTTTTATAATGTTTAATGTTGGTTGAATTTCCAAATGGAACCAATACTGTGCTTTGTGCAACTGTTGCTTTCAGGAGTTCTGCATGTAAAATGGTCCGCACATTGATTCAGCTAATGAGAACTTTGGATAAGATGCCAGAGGAGGTAACACTTCTAGAAACAGAGAATCTTGCATTTGATACTTTAGGTTTGTCGATGATGCTTTAATCACAGTGCACTAATCTTTCCAGCGCACTATACTGATGAAGCTACTATATTACGATGATGTCACGGTATGGCCTTCACTTAAGTTGTCTGCTATATTTTCATTTTCTTAGATATATCAATTGGAAAGTAGTGCAATATATAAAAATCTGATTTAATTAATATCGCACGTTCAAATAATTAAGCCCTGTTTGATGGCCATTATTTTGAGAAAATAGAGTTTTCATTAGAGATTTTTTTAAGAATGCATGGTTAAAAAGTAGGAAAAATTTTTGAGTTTACATACAAAATATTTTATTACGTAAATGTGTGGTTGAAAATAAGTATGAGAATTAAAGAATTTTGAATTAATGGTCGTCAAATAGAGGCTAAATATAAAGACCTATCTCTTTTACTTTTAACTTCTGCAGTTTCATGTTATTTGAAATGACTAACCATAGTCCTTTAAAATCCAACCCATTAGAAATGTGGTCTGCATAAATTTTAGCCCTTGTTTGGTCCTATTATTTCCAAAATACATTTTTCTCTTTCTTATTTTCAACCACACATTCTTCAATAAAATAACGTTACACGCAAATCCAAGATTTTTCCTTATTTTTTAACCACACATTCTCCATCGAATCACTATTCCAAAATACATTTTTGGCAAAAAAAAAATGGGGCTCAAACAAACTCTTATAGAAAATTCTAGGCTTTGTAAGGTCGTCATTTGTCAGAATCTATCAAAGGATTGCTGTGATTATTGTACATTCTTATGTCATGATATGTGCATTGTAGCTTTCTTTTCGGTTTCGGGATTTATGACTGTTAATAAGTGCAGAGCATTGAATATTCTCTATAATTTGTACAACAATAACTTTCCAGAGTTGGGGTCGTAACACTGTCAGTCAAATTCTGCATTATCTTCTTTTCAATAATCAGTAAATAACATTAAGCCTATGTGCTTCAAATTGTTGCAGCCCGTGGATTATGAGCCTCCCTTCTTCAGAGCCTGTATAGAAGAGGAAGCTCATCATCCATGGACTAGAAGTCCCTTGAAAATGGAGGTTGGCAATGTCAACAGTAAGCACTTTGTATTGGCTCTAAAGGTAAGGGATGAATTTACAGGTACTGCAAGATTCTTATGTTTCTAGTCAACTATGATTAACTTTTGTACCCGTGTTCTGTGCAGGTTAAGAGTGTGCTCGATCCTTGTGAGGATGAGAATGATGAATATCAAGATGATGTAAGCCTGGGTGCTGATTCTCCCAAAAGAGATGAAAATAGTGAATCTGATAGTGAGGTAATGCGTTAACACTTCTAAATATGAATCTTAATCACTTTTCATATTTGTAAATTCTCGTAATTGATTTTTTTCTAGGATCAAATTTTTTTGAACATAATAAAATCTTATGAAAATTAACTTCATATGTCAGTTCAGTAATTCAGATAATGATCAATACATAGTGGCTCCAGTTGGTAATGCACATTGCCTTTTCTTGTCTCCTTTTATTAATTTATTTCCACTACCTTTCTCAAGTTACAATGATTCCTATCATTTTTCTTTTCATAGACAAGAAACAGAGTCGTAAAGATAACACCGTAGTTGGTGAAGGTATCACTCTAGCTGCACCAGCCATTTGAGGGAGTTCTTTACTGATGAGCTTGGAGAAAATTCTGATATACATTGCTTTTTCGATGCAGATGATACTCAGGACCCAGAAGAAGATGTACAACAGTCGGGGCGTGTAATAGAGTGGATCAGATCGTATCACCTTGATACTGTCAAGTTCACTGATGTGCTTTCTAATTTCCCTGACATCTCAGTGGTAAAGACTTGTTATGCAGTTGTCCCTAGCTAATAAAAATTGGTTCCTTATAAAGTTCAATTAAATCTTTACTGCATTTAAGTTGTGATTAATGTTGCAATTCGACGGTTGCAGGTTCTAATAGAAGGTAAACGGACGTTGTTCGGGTTAAAACTGATAAAACAAGATCCTAATACTCTATTTTTAAGCCGTTTTGAACAATTTGGAATTGTTTCAACTGGTACCAGAAATTATGGACAAGCTGGTTAAAGAATGTGTTGTTACTAAAGCTGGTGCAGAAAGTTATGACATTAACAAGCAAAAGGTTTGCTGAGATTTTCCCTGATTTTCATTTTTATATTAATTATGATCTTTACCTACTCAACAAATTTTACATCTCAGAAATTCGACTATGAGTTTGATGCTGTGAAAGAAGAAACAGGTCAGACGGTGGCCAATGACTGCAAAGCTGGGGTTATGGGTGTAGATCACATGTACATGAAGGTAAATCTTTTCGAGTAATGCTATCTGTACAAAGTGGGGATGATCCCCATGTGATATGGTGTTAAATGATAAGATCAATAGAGAGGGTCTCAAATCCAAACAGCTTTATCATTTCCCCCCACATCACTTGCCACATCACATGGTATGATCCCTACTTTGAACAAATAGCATTATTCAATCTTTTCCTTACCATTTCAAGATTTGGGTCCTAGATAACTCATGCTTAGAAGTTAGCATTATCTACAACCAGCTTGTCCTGATTTAAAATTTCAATCGAATTTCCTATCCTTTTTGCTTGTATCTTCCAGACTCTGTGTCTATCCTGTTATTCCCTTATCTATGGTTGAGTTCATTTTAATACCTGATAGCTGTTCGGTGGCATCTTATAATCAAAGAATTTCAGATTCTTCAGAATTTCTTTGATAGCGTATTTATACCTGTGGCTCTTGGACTCAGGCTTTATATCACGCCCTTTCAATGAACTACATATCGGTGGCTAAACTTCAGAGCAAGCTTGAGGGTGAAGCAAACCTGACTATTGCACGCAAGCTAATAGATAAAATGACTAGGGATGGCTTTGTCGAGGCCAAGAGCAACCGCAGACTAGGTAAACGTATCCAGACCGAGTGATGAGGATTCAATTATTGAAGAATAAATTGTGATTTTCATTTTATGTTTGTCACAGGCAAGCGCGTAATCCACTCTGATCTTACTAAGGAAAAGCTGATCGAAGTCAAGAAGGCCCTTATGGACATAGAAGACATGGTATGTTCATTCTGATTCTATTGACTACTTAAACAATGAAGATACCATTTGATGGATCCTTGTGTTGAAATTAATTAGGATCTGGATGCCAACGAATCAGTTAACAAGTTCAACAATCTACCACTTCAGATTAACGGTGCTTAATCTGATTATCTCCTTCCTAGTGCATCAAATCACAGTCAATCTCGTAGTTATATAATTATATTTGAAACTTGAGATCATTGTGGCTATTCAGGGAACAACCACAAGGACTTATCCACCTGCGGTGTCCTTCACTCAATTGGATCGGATCTCACGCGCACACGAGGCAGGCCTGATGGACTCCAAAATGATTCTATAAGAAGTGAGCAGACTGTCTCGAGGAAAAGAGAGCTCGGAAACACTCCTACAAGCAGAGCCGAGGTAAGTCACAGTGACTTTAATCATATCTTAGTAAAAAATTCTCGTAAATTCTGTATCATGAAGTTGTATTATGACGTTCTTCAGCCAGTAACTTCGAGGGAAAGCTTTGCACCCGGGATAGAAGATGGTAGAGCTATTGGACACGACAATGTCCGTGAGGAGATGGACACAGTTATGTGCACCAGGTCTACTCAAGAGAAAAGTGCTAGAAAAGCAAGCACGGTATGCTCCAAACTCTTCGTCCCAACTCATATTAATTGTGGCTTGACCTTGTACATTCGAAAAGCATAGATTAAAAAAATATATCTAAGAATTTTGTATTTTCAGGTCAAAGAGCCAATCCTCCAGTACACAAAGCGCCAGAAATCTCAAGCTGTCTGAAAATTCGCGTTTGATGCTTCTGGTTTCCCTTAGCCATTTTATTTTTTAGTTTGCAATCCGTTTGCACCTAAACCAATCTGTAGCGGCAATGACATATCGTACTTGAATGATTCCCCCAACAAGGATACCATATTCATTGGATAGCCTCGTGTAAGTATGTGCATAATCATAAAATCGACCGAAGTAGGCATATGCTTTACTGATATATATATATGGCCAAAATGGTATATTATCAAGCTCGAGTCGAATTTGTATTGCTTTTAGTTTTTGCCTTTTAATGTCTAAAAAATAGGTTTTAGAAACTTTAAAAAATTCAAAATAGTAGTAATAAGGAAAATGCTTAAGAAATTGATTTAAATTTTTCACAAATGCCAAAACTGCAATAACACCACAGGAAGGAAACGAACAAATGGAAGAATGTAATTAAGTGATAAATATTCCCAATCTTAATACTAGCAGCTTAATTCATGTTTGCCTAATTTATAAGCTACTTCTTTTTCACATAACTAAAATGTAATCTTCTTTTGAAATGAGAGATAAAAATTCGAACCTTAATTTGAAAGTCAAATTTTGATTCCAATGTTTTTTCGGAATATCGTTAGTATCAAACGATGAGACATTTTCCTTTTGTGAATTCAATTTCAATGAAAACTTGATGAGTTGATCCATCTATGCGTCTTGCTTTTAATGTCCATAATTACTCCACGTAAAATAAATATTGACTTATCTATCTTTTGTTGTTAAATAAAGTAAATTACTATTTTAAATTTTGATTAAAACTCAAAATTTTATTTATTCGGAAACAAACTTATTCCAGAAACCTCTACTCTACCCTCGAATATTCCCAAACGTCTCTTTGATTTGCAGTCAACTAAAGCCCTCTAACAATACGACACGTGGTACCCCTCCGTACTATAAATATTATATTCCTTATACGTATACCGTAAAACTGTATCTAACTTTCCGCCTGCAAACGCCAACAGAAAGTATCAAAAAATCAAAGCTCGAAGAAACCATGGCTTACACTGAGGTAATTAAGAATTATTCTTACGTTTATTTACGAAATTTAATTCATTTTTTATTAATTACTGATTTGTTATACTGTGGTTTGTTCCTTGGTTATTGACTCTATGTTAGGTTGAGGTGGAAGGGACTCAGGGGAGTGAGACGCAATTGAAGCACCTACAGTTTGTGAGGATTATCGCGATCAATACTGCGGTGATCGTATCAAATCTCTATGATTACGCCAAGCAAAGTTCTGGCCCGCTTAAATCTACTGTTGGAACTGTGGAAAACGCTGTCACAGCTGTTATTTGCCCCGTTTATGAGAAATTTAAAGGCGTTCCTGGTGATCTACTTGTTTTCCTTGATAAGAAGGTAAATCAAGCTTTCTGGATCATTTTATTTTATGATATTTGTTTTGACGGTATTAAATTAAATTATATATTGGTTTAGAATTTTGTTGCTAAGCTTTTGAATTAGTTGATATGTGAATGTTATTAGGATTCGTTGATTTTCTTTGGGTTGAATATCCGACTAGGAAATGATTTAAATATTTCAAATTGTTCTTTAATGGAAAGGGAAACGACTCTTGAATTTAGAAATGAAAGCACTATATAGTGTACAAGTTACTAGAGGAAGTGAATAGATTTCGATTTCACACTTTCTTTTGTTTTTGTTCCTTTGTTTTCCTTTTGTTCTTTTATTTGTAGGCCACGTTTCAAGAGTTTGTCCTCATGTCTAGAAAAAATGCATTTGAACTTCTTGTGAATGTTATTAGGATTTATTGATTTTCTTTGGGTTGAATATCCGACTAGGAAATGATTTAAATATTTCAAATTGTTCTTTAATGGAATGGGAAACAACTCTTGAATTTAGAAATGAAAGCACTATATAATGTACTAGTTACTAGAGGAAGTGAATAGATTTCGATTTCACACTTTCTTTTGTTTTTGTTCCTTTGTTTTCCTTTTGTTCTTTTATTTGTAGGCCTCGTTTCAAGAGTTTGTCCTCATGTCTAGAATAAATTCATTTGAACTTGTTGAAATGCCATGGCAGCAAGACGTGCTGCTTCTAACAATAACCAATGGGTTTGCACCTTAAGGGGTGGAATAGTTGTTGGGAATTTATTTAATCATGCACGGCGGAAAATAATTTTTTTTTTTATTTTCCACCTCGGGTGTGCTTTATGTTTAGATAGAAACTGTATTTAGAATAATACTTTTGATTAATTCTGTAAACTCATTTGCTGATATTGGAATACGAACAGTCACGAACTGTAATCCACAGCTGTCTAATTGTCCAGCCTCCAATGTAAATCCACACAGGGAACAAACATGAGAGAATTAGGGTTTCTCTTTTCTTGTGCTAGTAAGATAATGAATTATGTTCTATTATATTTTTCTGAAATCCTAATAACTTATTAATATAAGTTTAAGTGGGTTTGATCCGTCTTTTAAACTTAACTTGGTCCAATGTTTAACTAATCCAATTAATTAAATTTGGTCCATGAATTAATTAATCCAATTAATTAATTCGGGCTTATTGACAGCAACTCAATTAATTAACTGTACAACACTTGTTAATTAATTAATTAATTGTTGAATCTTATTTTCCTGGTTATCCTTTTGTGTGTGACCCATCAGGTTCTCGATCACGATACTTAATAACGTGAATTATTTTTTTTATCTAATCAAAATCGATAAATTAAAATATCCCTTTTAATTTATCACCAATTCACATTTGTCGTCTTAAATTGACATCTAGTAATGTGTCAGGACAATACATGTGATTAGAAATGTCACGTGGTATGACAAAATCAAACCTGTTCATTTACCAAGAAACTACAATTCTTTCGTCAATATGATCCGATCAATTACGAGATATGGATTTGTGTCAATCTCAATTATCGATCATATCTTTCATCCCACTATTAAGTCAATATAAGTCGAAAACTCTTTTCCGACTTATGAATACACTTTCGCCAAGCATTTTATTATTAACTTAACTGAATGAAATGTAAATCATAATCTCTTACTATTTAAGAGTAACGAATCCTCTATTGATCATTCACAACCTTCGTATGATTTTTGACATACCCGAATGATGTCGTATTAACGACCTTTGGCAGAGCAACATCGAACATCACCAAAGTATGACTGTCCTCCTATAAGGCACTATGACGATCTCAAATCAAATGACCAATTTCACTACTGAATGTTAGAGATTAACCACTGACACTCAGATAGTTATCAATGTAGAATCTCTTTAGCGGGTCTCCAATGTTTTGTTCTATAACAAAATATTCACGTGGTCATTTAAGTGTCACCACAGTTTAGCTCGTGAGATCAACTACTTACTTCACAAGTAAGAAATGTCACACGTGATGGTCTATCCGTAATAATGATATACGTTTCTCGTTATTACTTACGATCACATATGATTTAAGATTCAGTCACACGTAATTCTTATCTCACAATCACAACTCCTTGTAATTAACAAATTATCAAAACTTGAATCTACGGATTCTATTATTTAATAATTAATTAAAACATTAACTCAATTAAATAATAGATTTTGCCATAAATATGCATTAATTATATATTAAAAGTGTTTATGTCCAAAGTTGGTAGGATCTAGGACATAACACTTACAAACTCTCACTTGCACTAGATCCTCTCATTTATATATCTTATACCATAAGAGTCTATATGACGATCTTGTTTATACTGCNGGTCTCATACATAGCATCGCATACATGATAGATCCTATTGCTGATGCATAAGGAATCTTATCCATGCGATTCCTCTCATCATGTGTTTTAGGACACATGTCTTTTGAGAGATAGATCCCATGTGACATGGGACATAATCCTCTTTTGGATTTTTCCATGTTAAATCTTCTCAAGATTTTATCTATGTACGAAGACTGGGATAAGCCAAGCAATCTTTTAGATCTATCTCTATAGATCTTAATGCCTAAGATATAAGCTGCTTCTCCCATGTCTTTCATGGAGAAATTCTTTGACAACCACAATTTCACTGATTGAAGCATTGGGATGTCGTTTCCCGTTAATAATATGTCATCTACATATAAAATCAGGAATACGACAGCGCTCCCACTTGTCTTCTTGTAAACTCATGGTTCATCTAAATTTTTGATAAAATCAAACCTTTTGATTGTCTCATCAAAACGAAGATTCCAGCTCCTAGAGGCTTGCTTCAATCCATAAATGGATCGATCGAGCTCGCATACCTTGTTGGCTTCTTTGGATTCAAAACTTTCGGGTTGTGTCATATGCACTTCCTCTTGCAAGTTCCCATTAAGAAAAACAGTTTTGACATCCATTTGCCATATCTCATAATCGTGATATGCAGCTATTGCAAGCAAAATTCGAATAAACTTTAGTATGGCTACAGGTGAAAAAGTTTTATCAAAATCAACACCTTGTCTTTGTTTATAACATTTTGCTACTAGAATTGCTTTGTATGTATGGTTGTTTCCATCTACAACCTATGGGTTTTATCCCATCAAGAGGGTTGACGAAGGTCCAAACCTTATTTTCATACATTGAGTTCATTTTCGGATTCCATGGCCTCATGTCATCTTTTTGAGTCAGCACTTTGACTTTGCTTTTATGTAATTAGTTGGTTCATTATCCTTGATTAGTAATGCATGATTAGTAATCATGGATTCGTACATCTAGAAGGTCGAATGATCCTTCAAGATTTACAAGAGCTGACGTGTCCTTAGAAGTCTCTACTTCATGATCAAGAGTATATCCCTCAATAGGTGTGGGATCAGACACATGTTCATCTACTTGGTTGAGTATATCTGTAGACTTTTGAACTCCTTCAAGTTCTATTTTACTCTCACTACTCTCTTCTAAAATAAACTCTTTCTCTAGGAAGATGGAATGTCGTAAGACGAAAACTCTCTTCTCAATTGGATTATAGAATTGATATCCAATTATCTCTTTTGGATATCCCCCAAATATGCATTATTCGGATTCAGTCTTAAGCTCATCCAATTCAGTGCGCTTCACATAAGCGTCACAGTCCAAAACTTTTATATAAGACAAGTTGGACCTTTTGTCTCTCCATAACTCGTATAAAATTTTGTCAACCGACTTAGATGGTACACGATTTAGTGCGTAGAACATGGAAATCAGTACATGACATGAAAACGATTTTGGAAGGTTTGCATGTATTGTTATTAATTGTACTATATCTATTAGTGTACAATTCCTCCTTTCAAATATACTATTATGTTATAGTATATGTGGAGAAATCCACTGCAAGAGAATCTCATTCTCTTTTAGATAATCTAAAATTCTCCCCTTTAAATATTCTTCACCTCAATCAAATCTTAGTGTGCAAATGTATTTTCCTATTTGTTTCTCTATTTCTAGCTTGAATCATTTGAACATTTCAAGAGTTCCATACTTGAATTTCATCAAATATACATGATCATTTTTGAAATAGTCGTCAGTAAATGTGATGAGATAAGAGAGACTTCATCTAGCATTAATTTATATGGGTCTGCATACATCACTATGTATTAGACTCAATAATTGTGTAGATGTTTCACATTTTCAAGTAAAAGGGGATTTTGTCATTGTGCCTAAGGGACATGTTTCGCATTTGTCAAATGATTCAAAATCATTTAACTCAAATATACATCTCCATGTAATTTTGGAATTGCATTCTAATTTATGTGATCAAGTCTACAATGCCAGATATGGGTGTTAATCAGATTATTATTTTTATGTTTTTCAATATCTATACTCGTTTTAGAATACTCAATATTTAGAATATAAATATCATTTTGTAATTTACCATAACCATTAAGATCTTATCAAGATAAAAAAGAATAATTATCCTTAACATTAAAATAATTCATGTACAAACATGAAATTTATTTAATGTTCCGTTAATGGTGGTATAAAGTAACATTTCTCTAATTCCAATACTAAGCCCCTGTTTGTCTACCATTAATCCAAAAAATTGTTTGCTACAGTAAGATTCCTCACCACACATTCACCCAATAAATATTCTACACACAAATCAATAAAGTTACTTTACTTTTCAACCACACATTCTCCAGAAAATACTATTCCAGAAAACACGTTCTAAGTTTAATGGCAAGAAATGTGCTCCTATAGGCAATGCCGCAATCTTTGCTCATTTTCAACGTGCATGTTAACTTCTCCCTTTTGCAGTGATCTTTTATTTATTTTCTGCATATTTATATAAATATGAAATCCATATTTGGTATCTAATACTCAAGATGTTAATGAAGTAGACTAAGTCTTGCGGTTTCTTTTCCAATGACCTATCGTTCCAAAATGATCATAAGGGTCGTTAGATTGTCCTTATTCGCTTTGACTGTTTTAGCCATCTTGATTGCTTTTCTAAAGCATCCTTTAGACTTCCCTAGAGGAATCTATGATTAAGATTTGCCCACTACAAATTTAAATATTGGGTTTAACAGTTTTATGCATATTCAGCAACTCAATGAGTATGCATTCGAGTTTATTTATGTCAAATTCATAATTAGCCATGAGTAACTCTGTGGCAGAGATTGCAGAACAAAGTTTATACTTAGTTCATGGTTCATAACTGAATTCAATTGAGACAACTCAATGTAATCAACATTTTCAGTACACGAGCACTGATTGAAGATTCTTCTGTCATTATGCACCGGTATAGTTGTTAGGAAATCTCATATATTTCCATACGTGATTGTTCATCATTCAATACCTTGAGATGAAAAATCATGTATTAGCATCTATACTCTCATATTGCTTTTGTAGTACTATCGTCATCACTGTATTTATTATAGCAGTCACCTCTTCCTTTGTCAAGTCATCAGCAGGTGTCTCTAAAAAGGGTTACGCAAGGACATAACCAATTTTTTCATGCATTAGAACAATTCTCAGATTGTGGTGCCAATCAAGAAAATTTGGTTTGATTGTTATCTAGTATGCAAATACATATGGTTTACTCATGATTCAGTAAATATAAATGACGAAAAGTAAACGAATAATATATAGAATGCATCAATTAATTTAATATGGTCTTTTATTAAATTAATTATGTTCCCACTGTTTAACTCAAATTTATCACCCTCTCACATAAATTTAAAGAATCCATACTTGACTTTCAGTGGGCTGGGATCTCATTTGTTATGTTAAAACCTTGAGTGTACCCAACAAACCTTAATAAAACATTTGGGTAGATACTATTACTCAATTGTATCTCTATACAACTCTCAGATCATTAAACGACAACTCTTTGTCTCCACTCATTTTATATGTTAGCTTAACATGCCTCTAAAATTTATATTCTTAAGTATACTNTACAACTCTTAGATCATTAAACTGATAACTCGTTATCTTCACACATCTTATATGTTAGCTTAACATGCCTCTAAAATTTATATTCTTAAGTATACTCAATAAAAGATAAATTTTAGTTAAGTGAAACTCATCATTCGGAAATATTTAATATTTCATAGTGTCAAACATATCCTTGATAGATCAACCTTGAGTGTATTCAACAAGCTGAGATCACTTGAGAACTCTGATTTTTCACTATAATAATGGGAAGCAAATATAAATGACTTAATATTTTAACGAGGGGTTTTGCATGCAAATGTCTCATTGTAATAATTATAGATATTTTATTATACATCTAGCATTCAAATAAACATATATATAATAGTGTGGGCGATTATGGACTTTACTATCTAGTCTTCTCGAGCTATAAGAAAGACTAGTTGGTCAATTTTTAGGGGACATAACATTGAATTATACAATACTCTATCTCTATGGGCTCCTCCTCTTCTTGTTCCTTTAATTGGTCCAATTGCAATCTGTATTCTATACTAGTTGGCACGCATGTCTAAATAATTGGACACGCAGGCCCATAAAATTACAACGGACTCGTAAGTCCATAATAAATAAGAGTAAGCACACCCATAAAACAATAAAAATAAAACTAACCATTCAACACATCCACATGGTCTAGCCCATAATCATCTACTAATAAAGCATTCATCATATAAATGTTTTCCTATATAATATCTAATATATGCAAACATGTTTCAAGTTTCTAGCAATAAAGGTTGTCTAAACTAATTTAGACAAATGGTCACCAGTTCGAGTCTCTTCAGGGCCACTGAGGCGAGTACCCGACCGTAAACTTCAGGGCCCCGTGGGATTACTCGAGGTGCGCGCAAGCTGTCCCGAACATCCATGGTTATAAAAAAAACTAATTTAGACAAATTGATCGGAAAAACTAAATAATTAATTAATGAAATTAATTAATTAATTTAATTAGCGGGTTTATTTAATTAAAATCAAATATCAAGTTAGAATCTAAATCTAATTCCAAAATTATAAGGCGAATTTATTTAATTAAAATCAAATTTAAATTAGATACCAAATTAGAGTTCAACTCTAATTTCAAGATATTAGGGGCGAACTTATTTAATTAAAACCAAATTAAAGTCTAGCTCCAATTCCAAGAAATTTTTTAGGGCGAGACAATTTAATTAAAATCAAATTCTAATTAAATGTCAAATTAGAGTCTAACTATAATTTGGAGAATATATTATGGTGAATAATTTAATTAAAATCAAATTTTAATTAAATACTAAATTGGAGTACAAACTCTAATTGCAATTGAATTAACATTTTAATTTAGGTTAAAACTCCTAAATAAAATTTAAGCTAAAATCCAATTTTAACGAAAATATAAAAATCATTAATTTTAAATATAATTTTAAACGGGTTCAAAATTGAAATTTTATGGTCAAGCTTTTTAAAATCTAATTTAAAACAATTTTCAAAATAATTTTAAATCCCTATTTAAAATTGCCATCAAAACCTTTTTTCAAAATTGCAGTATGATATTTTAAAATTGTAAACAAGTTCCTCAATTTCTCAAATTGCAAGAAGGCCATTTCTTTCAAAATTACACAATGGCCCTTTGATGTGTAATTGCAGGCGGGCCTTGCAATTTCATAAATTGCAATCCAACCCAGCCCCAAATCACCCAAATCGAAAGGAAACCCTAGAAAGTTTCTTCTCCGGCTGCGCCAGCACCGCTCCTGTAACCAGATGGCGGTGTGCTGCCGTTGTCAAATTGTGGCGATTAACTAGTAGGAGATGGCAACGCCCTGCTGCAACAAAAAGTAGCAGGGTTGCGCATTAGCAGCGCGCTGCGTGTTGCCACAGCTGCGACGCTGCAACGCACGGATCTGCTTTATGTTGAGATAGAAACTGTGTTTAGAATAATTAATTTGATAAATTCTACAGACTCCTTTGCTGATCTTGGAACATGAACGGCCACAAATTGCAATTGACAGTTGTCCAATTATCTAGCCTCTATTGGAAATTCACACAGGGAACAAGAATGGGAGAATTTTGATCTCTTTTCCTGTGCTAGCAAGATAATGAATTATATTCTATTCTATTTTTCTGAAATCCTAATGATTTATTAATATAAGTTTAAGTAGGCTTGATCTCTCTCTTAAACTTAACCCGGTCCAATATTTAATTAATCCAATTAATTAAATTTGATCCACGAATTAATTAATCCAATTAATTAATTCGGCATATTAGTAGGCAAGATTAATTAATTGTACAACACTAGTTATTTAATTAATTGGCGAAACTCCTTCTTTTGGTTCTCCTTTTGTGTGTGACCCGTCAGGTTCCCGATCGCGATACGTAACGATGTGATTTATTATTTTGATCTAATCAAAATCGATAAATTAAAATAACCTCTTTAATTTATCATTAATTCACATTCGTCGTCCCATATTGACATCTAGCAATGTGTCAAGGCAATGCATGTGATGAGAAATGTCACGTGGTATGACAAAATCAAACTTGTTCGTTTACTGTGACATTATAATCTTTTCGTCAATATGTTCGATTAATTATGAGATATGAGTGTGTCAATCTCAATTATCGATCATATCTTTCATTCTACTATTAAGTCAATATAAGTCGAAAATTCTTCTAGACTTATGAATACACATTGGCCAAAGATTTCGTTGTTAACTTAATTGAATAAAATGTAGATCATAATCTCTTAATATCTAAGAGTGACAAATTCTCTATTGATCATTCACAACCTTCATATGATTATTGACATACCTGAATGATGTATTAGAGACCCTTGGCAGAGCAACATCTAATATCACCAAAATATAACTGTCCTCATATAAGGCATTATGATGACCTCGAGTCAAATAACCAATTCCACTACCGAACAGTAGAGATTAACAACTGATACTCAGATGGTTATCCATGTGGAATCTCCTCAGCGGGTTTCCAATGTTTTATTCTTTAATAAAACATGCACGTGGTCATTTAAGTGTCACCACACTTTAGCTCGTGAGATTAGCTACTTCACAAGTAATAAATGCCACACGTGATGTTCTATCCGTAATAACGAATCCGCATCTCGTTATTACTTACGATCACGGATGATTTAAGATTCAGTCATATGTAATATGTATTTCATAATGACAACTCCTCGTGGTTAACAAATTATCAAGATTTGAATCTACGAATTATATTATTTAATTTATTAAAACATTAATTTAATTAAATAATAGATATTGCCATAAATATGCATTAATTATATATTAAAAGTGTGTATATCCAAAGTTGATTGGATTTAGGGCATAACACTTACAATACTCTCTTGCGCAACATCTACCTATTTTATATTAAGAAACTGTTTTTGAACATACAATAATTTTTTGAAACTGTTTTGTATGATTAGAAGAACTTTTAAAAAAAGTTGGGTTAAGGTAGTTTTATTATAAAGTTATTTTACAAGTAGAAGTAAAAGAGAAGTCCTGCCAAACGGGCCCAATATTAGATAGTGTTAGGAAAGAAAATTAAGAGTTTTGTCAATTATGCAGTCCTGTGCTATTATTGAGTGCTGCATACAAGACATTTACTTGATATTGTTGGAAGTTGAAAGGTCTTTTCGTACGATTGTTGTTAGCCGTGGGTAGTTTGATGTATTGGTTTTGGGGTGCTTGATAATGTTCTATGTATCGGGTCATTTTATGGATGATGCTCTATTCAAATGGAACTCCTCGTTACTTCACACAGCCTAATGTAATTCATTTCTCATGCAAGTTGGATGAAGGAACTTACAAATTTGAAGAGTACGCTCCACCTTTTGCCAAGAAGGTAGTGAGCAAAACCCAATCTCTTGTCAAGAAGGCATCTCAAATAGCCTATGATTTAGCAGAGGAAACTAAGGTTGGTGGTCTGGGTGCTGCCCTTTCCCGTTCTGGGACGATGTTCAAGCATTTTGCCATAAGCCAATTGGTCATCGTGTGGTACAAAGTTGACCATTATCCAGCCTTGCATAAAGCGACACAAATGGCTGTGCCAACAACTGCATACTTGTCCGAGAAGTACAACAAATTGGTTGAGGACATGACAGCAAAAGGTTATAGTGTATTTGGCTATCTACCATTAGTTCCTATTGAAGAAATGGCCAAAGCTTATAAGCAGGTAGAGACAGCCGCAGCTAAGAAGGAAGATGCTAGTGCTAGTAGCTCGAGTGAAAGTGAATCAGACAAGGAATAGAGCAGCAGCAGCATATTGTGTTTGTGTAGTGTGCTTTGCTATGAATTAGTGTGTGATGAACCTTTCTTGGCCTCTGTGAAAATGTGAATTTGTGTAAATGGGCTTTAAAATTGTAACATGCTTGGTATACTATACTGAGTAAAATCATCAAACTTGTATATAGTCTTATGTGGCTATGTTTACCCATCTTGTTTATGATCTTGCAAATTATAAAAGAATCGCAGGATTGTGATCATCACAATCATAGTAAAACGTGTTTTGTACAGAGCCTTCCTCGTAATTAACATGTTTTCTCACACCTTGTATCAGGCAGCATTAGTATTTGATAATCAGCTAAATGAAGTTCGTAAGTATTGCTTATCCATGTGATATCTGTAGATGTTTTGATCCTTGGATAGCCGTTATGCTTTATTTGTCTAGTGCTTAAATAGACAAGTGCCATTGGTATGATTTGCCCTTGAGTTAGCTCGTTGAGCTATCAAGCGTAGTTGAAGTAGTGGGAGCATTTGATTTTCAAACTACGCTGGCAATATATTAAACCATCTCGTGCTTAAACGATTCAAGATATAAAAATTACTCAATTAAATTTAGTCATCAACACAAAAAAAGATCTCCCACAATATGAAATGTTTAGATTCAGTTTGTCTTCTAGTACAAGATACACTTTACTCCCTCGAACACAATTTCCAAAAGTGTTTAGAAAGCCAATGTCTCAAGTACATTGCAATTTACGAAAGGTGTCTTCCGTTCAAAACTAATAACACGGATACTTATTTGACTTCTGAGCAAATGCCGAGTTTCACGCCAGACAATGCTAAGAAAAAGGACGCACAACATGATAAAACAACTACACTTCCCGTGAAAGCTCAACCATTCACGAACTGCTTCTGCCCTTCCTGCATATAGAGCAAAATAAATAAATATTTCAACCTTAATATACATTCACCTCCTCCAAGATCACAAAACCATTCGTAAATTCGCCAAAAAGGAAACAAGATTTTCCCCTTTATCCTTCACAAAATAGGACTATATATGTATTTTACATTGTAATAGATCTTCAGTGTCCCAAAACATGCTACCCTCCTAGTTGAGCAACACCAGGTAATCAAAGCCACCCCACAAAAGTGACTTACGGTGGATAATCATATTTCCTAGAAGTGAGGCATTATAAAATCTTTATATTGATATTTGAAGCTCAAAGTTTGGGGATGCACTTAGTATTGGGATAAAAGGCACAGGTGATAAAGTATTTTACCCAATAATTTCAGTCAGAATGTTCAAATGACAATGCAATTAAATCAACATCAATCCAACATCTTCTTCACCATTATATGAAGACTCTGAATGCACTAGATAATATTTTCCCCCCAAAATACGCACTAAGCCATGAGATATTTTATGACATCGAGTATAACATATGAATGAATCAAAGTTCTTGCATTTACTATCTCTTTTACTAGCAGTTCCACGTACTCAACTTAATTGGAATATGATTAATATTCTTCTTTGAACTACCTAAAAGCATTAGTTTCAAGGCATCTCAATTACCCAAGTGATCGAATATTATCAAAGAAAATATTAAAATATGAACTTGACAGTGCTGCATGCAAAAGGTGTTATCAACAAAAAGTAAAGGATTTTAAGAAATTAAATCATTATCTGTACATTTAATAGGTGGCAAGAGGCCCTAAAAAGCTACTGATACTCCCTATTTCACTGGCAGAAAAGAGATATTACACATGGAATCCTTTCGAGGAAATGAAGTTGGGATCATTCAACAATCTACACAAAATATGGGTGTGTTTGAGCCACATATAAAACTTTCTTACATAAAACCTTATCATCTAACTACCTCTTACACATCAACTTTTTCTTACTTTTCAATAAGTACACTACCTTTTAATTATTTTATTGAAGAATGTGTGGTTGAAAATGAGTATAAGAATAAGAATGCAAATTTTAATGTGGCTCAAACTGGGGCTATATAAACCTTCAATCTAGTACTGATGTCAATATAGGTTGCTACTTTATAATTGTGTCGACTTTGTCACTGGTGATTGCTTTCCCTTTTATGGTGACACGTGAAGCTAAATCAACTATTGGCTAGTCAACAACAACAGCAGAATGTAAGAAGTGTATAATAATAGGTAATAACAGCCTAAATCTTATAATGTCATACCTAATAATGTCTAGTGAAATGAAATTTTGCAAATCTACATCAAAGCATGTTCATTTAATCTATCTCTCCTTTTTAATACATTCTACTAATATCGTTCTAGTGAAATTTTTTTTATCCAAGTCACAAAATGAGCACCCAACCATCCAAGTCATTCTTCATTTAGGCTCCATTGACTTCACTCTTTTTATGAATGGATATCATCATTTCTCATTTTACCTATTCTAGTATGAACATGTATCTATCTGAAATTTCTCATTTCTAATACGTTCGCTGTATAAATACTAAACAGTTTGTCTTTAACGACTCAATACTCTATTGTCAAGTATAGCTGGAAGAGTTTTGAAAGTCAATTAATTTTTGCATTTTTTTTTCCTATGGAAAGAAAAAAAAACATTTCAAACATATAATAGAGAATAACTTAAGTGTCTACAACAAAACATAATATCACAGCCATGGTATAAAAAGGCGTCCGTGAGGCGCGCCTCACCATGAGGCGTACATGTACTGCCTCGAGGCGGTTCTACCGAGGCCATTTATGTGGGGCAAACGCCTCTTTAACTGAGGCGCACGCCTCAAGGCATGCGCCTCAAGGTGCATGAGGCGTGCGCCTCAGCTGAAATATTTTTTGTTTCAACTTTATTAGTAAAAAACTGACTGGGCACTTCTTAAAAAAAATGGGCCCACTAAAAACGATTTTGTGGGCCCCAAAAAAACCTAAAAAACTAAATTATATATCATATATGCAGCCAGAAAATGAACAGGTTACTGAAAAGTCAGAATACCCGTCTTCTTCATCCTGCTTCTGGCCGGCTTCATCAGATCAGACATTAGGTATTCTTCTTCTTCTCCTTCTTCTCATATTTGTTCTTCTTAGGGTTCTATTTATAAAGTTACCAGTTTTTAAAATACTAAAAATGCATGAAAATATTTCCCAGAAAAGTTTTCTTCTTGGTTCTAAGTTCTATTTATGAAATTACAGTCCTTCTCCTTGCATGCAATAAATCTCTTTAATTCCTGGAGATCGCAGCTACTGTTAAGTCACTTATATTGGAGATTTCTATAGCTAATAACTTGAAATTGTCAGTGCTCTTAATATCCATTTTTGTTGATATAATAATATCCTATAATCCTATTATTCCAATCATCTATGAACCTTGGGGGACCAGTTTCCAATCATCTGTGTAGCTGTCTAATTTTCAAATTGCAGCTGCTGAGTGGCTTATGTGATGTGGATTGGAGGACCAGTTTAAATTTTATATTCCATTACATATTTACATCTTACATTCAATAGTACTTATAGTTTATCTACAAGTAGTTCAAAGACACTTCCTCATCAATTTTTCTGCATCGAATGTGATCATCTCATTACTTAATTTTTTTTTCTC